TGAACAGCCGATATTCAGAAGACTCGATTTGAGTTCCTGAATTCCAAGTCTAGTTCCAACATCCAAGCAGGGTGTAATACAATATGGCTGACCTCATATAACTAAGAGTATAATTTTGACAAGCTAACATAACAAAAATGTGCAGTCTGTCTCTTTTGATTTGTCAAGGTTAAAGTTTGACTCCGCGTCACGAAATTCATAACTAGGCAGGCTTGCTTGTTACACTCTGCACTGTGGGATGAACGGGCAGATGGCCTCTTTAAGCCTATCCTAGTGAATCTTCATTTGACTTATTTTCTGCCATGCACATGCGTGTGCTCTTCGAAGTTTATGTGGCACATTTTTTTTCCGAACATGTACTTAAATGCATGCTATTTTGTATTAGAAGAAACCGTCAAGAAGGCGGCAAAAGTATACAAAACCACCAAAAGTGGCTGTCCTAAAAACCAAAACTAGAGGTATGAAACAAATAAAAACTAAACTGCCTAGCTAACCAAAACAGAAAGGAAACTAGGGGTGAGGGGCTAGTATTTAAGGAGCTCTGGCATACAATGGCAAAGTCAGAAGATCCTTTGTTTCTGCTAGTTTCCGGAGATCAGCTTTGCTGAGGATGCTATCAGCCAGTGATTGGCCAGTTAACTAGCTCATGGTATGATACTATAAATGGAATTGAACAACAAATCTGAGCCCAGTGCCCCAGTGGGAGGTAGGCAGGGAGGGGATTTAGGCCATATTGCAAACCCTGACTGCTGCTGCCAGTCATTGTACCTTTATTTTTCGCATCTTACCCACAGTACAGAAAGGGAATTAGGGAACTCGAGAGAGTACTTAAGCCTGATGGCATACCCCAACAGCTTCCACTTGTCTGGTCCTTCCTACCTTGCATCTGCATCTGCTGCTGCTCTCTGCCCTGCTGCTTGTTGTGGCGGCTGCTGCTGTTCGTGGTGGAGGCCTGGTAATATTAGGGCACAGGATTTAATGTATAGGACCACACTTAGAGAAGATACAACATTCATAGCATATGATTTGTTGATACTAATGAACCATGAAAAATCATGGAGCAATTGTAGCATATCTCCAACACAGGTCCACCTTTATTTCCTTTTTATGGCTTTCTTCACATATGGCCATGATTTTTTCAAGCAGCCATATCTTAATTAGCACAACACGCAGGACTTTTTTTCCATTGTGTTGGTACAATAAAAATATACAACTGCTAATTGTCTGATATGTGTAGATAGGCTACTCATAAGGTGTAAAAATTATATGGTCAGGAAGGCATTTTCTTGCATTTTTTCTTCAGTTTCAGTTAGTAATAGTGTCCTTAATTGCTTATCCTGTCAGCAGTCACTGCCTGCTTGTTTCTTAAGTTATGATTGTTTCATTATCCTAGTTAAAATATTGTTTATATCTGATTTGTTTTGTCCATTAGTTCCTATTCAGTATTACTGACTGGCAGGATTTTTTCTATTAATGTAGGTGCTTTGTGTTTCGTACTCTCAGAATAGACAGCTCAGCTTTCCTACACAAAAGCAGCAACGAGCTAGTTCTGGATCGATCTGTCAGAAAAGGAAAAGATCTGCTAATAAGGTTACCCTACGGTTTATTAAACAAAAAGTTGAAGCCAGTGGATCCTCTGGAAAGGCATCAACCCAGTCTACCCTGGATGAGGGATTACCAGGGAGCATTTATGCATCATCCACTGGTAAAAAGTTCATGTGGACATATGAATCTGACAGGTATAGTTTCATTTTGCACCTACTACAGACCTTACTACTGGAGCTAAAAAAATGTTTTGGAGCCTGATCGGTTATTATTATCTGCAGAAAACTGCTGATGATCTACACTAGATTTTGTGCAGCACGCGGACCCAAATGTCAATGGAACACTCTCTCTGGTCTTCCAGCTGCACCACCTACATGTCGTAGAAGGATGGCATATTTAAATAAAAACATAAACATAAGAAAAGCTGTCGTCCGAATCTGTAGCCTTCTCAGAGAGGAAAGGAGATCGAAAGAGAGGGAATTCCATTCCCATATGTCAAATTCTAGTCATGAGAACTGTGTGGATTCAGATTCTGAGATATTCAATTGGGATTATTTTGAAGATCCAGAAATAAAAAATGCACTTGATGAAGTCCTTGAATTCATCCGAGTAGAAAACGTGAACCAGACCAGGGAAGTTGAGCCTAATAATTCAAAGTGCAACAATGATAATAATGCCAATGAGGAAATTCCAAGTGGGCAGAAAGAGCAGGTAAGTAATTGTCATTTAACCTCAACTTCCAACCTATGTTTTGGTTAATACCGATCTTTCACCTTGAATTAATCAGGTTATGCAAGGTGTTACCAGTACAAGCGCTGCAGTTCCAGAAACTGGATCATGTGAGCTTGCAGAATTGCCTAGACAATCAAATGCACCCCATGCTAGTAACAGCGTGGACGGTCCCTGTGCATCTGATGAAAACATCATTAAGGTCAACAAAGATGAAACTACTAGAAGATATGGATGCAAATCTTTAGCAGTTGCCAATGCGATAGAGCTTCTGAAGTTGGTTTTTCTCAGCACATCATCAGGATCAGAAGTACAAGCTTCATTAGCTACAACCCTCCAGCTTTATTCACAGAGCGAAATTGTGGCTGCCTTTTCCTTTCTTAGTGAGAAGAAGTTCACGGTTAGTATTTGCGGACTTATGCAGTTAAGTTCCCATTGAACATTGAATATCCAGTCTCTGCTATTGTTCAGTATGCTCAGCCCAGCTCAGGTCTTTTGAACCATATTAACTCCACTTGCTTGCAAAGTGCAACATTTAGCTTCATTGCTTGTGAAACCTAGATATTTAACCATGGTTTGTGATCACAAAAATTATACTTCATCTGAAGCATGGTCCTATCAGTCCATCACAAATCACCATTCAGAAAGTAACTCGATATAGAACTAACATGTACAAATATAAGCTTGTGGTGGGGGAATAGCATGAACGTAGATGTTGGGTTCTGATGTTGATAACTGGAAATTCATTATGAAGCCGGAATCTAAACACGATGTGCTTGCCTGGCTAACGTTGTCTGGATTTATGAATGTGGTGATCAATGCTGCATGCACTTATGTTTATGCCCGTGTTATCACAGCCTTTACTTTCCCCATGTTATAAGCACCTGAGTTTGCAGTGGAGCTATGCTGATAATCTTTATTCTTAGCATGTGCTGTAAAGGATGATTAGTCTGTTCAGCATCTTCACTGTTATCCTGCCTGTAATCATGCCAGGAATCATAGAGTTCCTTCAGTTCTGTAATGAGCTGGAGCAGACAGTTTGATTTAAGTCTAATATGTGATATAAGACAACAGTTAATTTGTACCGCTATTCTTACTTCTCACTGCATTTTGCAGGTTAGTGGACATGGAACAAAGCCATACACCCTTTCTAGAAAATTCTTCTTCAAGGCTTCTCATTCACCCTTCCCATTTGGTTCTGGAAAAAAGGCTTCTGAATTTTCCAACTGGCTTATAGGGCAGCAAAGGAACACTGCAGACAATAGAATTTATTTGTATCCAGATGTAGAATGTGGAGAAATTGTTTATCTCTTTTCGCTGGTTTCGTCTGGAGAGTTGTTCATTTCACCTTCCTTGCCAAGCGAAGGAGTTGGTGATGCTGATGGGCCTAATAGTTCCAATCCTTTGGTTGAAGATACCAGTGGACTAAATGATGGTACTCACAAACGCAAGGCTGATACGGTGGAACAGGAAAGCAGTGCGGCTAAGAAAAACAAGCTTTGTTACCGCCGTGAGAAAGGTTTCCCTGGTATCCAAGTTGCTCTGAATCAGGAGAGAATTGAAACAAGCTATCTCACTCAAGAGTTACATGATAAAGAGTGCCTTATTTTTAGTTTAGCTCAGGAAATGAGCATGAAGGATGTTGATTCACAGGTTGAAAGCCCCAACACGTTACTGTATTTAAACAACTCCAGTTCATGTCGACATATGCTGTCTGAATCTCATTTGGAAAGCTCTTATAATGGATGGCCTTGGGATGCTATGAAAATATATGCGGACCAGTTACCATCATTATCTTGTAATCAAAATGAATCGTCCATATTGTCTTCTGATCTGTTCAGAAATGCATTTTATGTTATTTATCAAGGTGGCGAAGGAGGAGTTAATTTGAGAGAATTGTCACGGGAACTGCATCCATTAGGTACTTGCTGTTCTCATGAATAATCATTTGCGTAGTTTTTTATAACTTACTTGTTGCATAAGGTACAGTCTTTTTTTTTGGTAGGTATAGTTCATTTTTGTTTTGATCTTATCCAATGCAGGCACACAGTTAGTTGATGTGATTGTTCATACACTCAAGAGATTTCATCTGGCCATGGAGGTAAATCTATAAACTTTTGTATAATAGACTAGTTGTGTACTTGTTTATCTACATATTTATCACTGTTTAGCAAGAGGTCATTCAATTCACTTCATTCAACACCTAGTTGTGACTATTTCCACTGTGTTCTGGTTTGTTATCAGTTGTCTATAAAATTCAACTAACAGATTTATTACCAACATACACTTTCTTTCTTCATATTTATAGAAATCTGTAGAGGGTAACATAGCTAAAAATGTACATCTGTAGGATTCTGCTACAAACTTTTGGTCATGCCAGTGGAATAACAGAGAAAACATGAAAAACAAAGTCGAATGTGTACACTCAAAATTCTTCAATTTTTTTACTATACATAAAGCATTTTAATTTTAAAATGAAATCGGTTTTCATATTTTTCAAGCATGTGTATTGGAGACCTTGCAGATCTATCAAACAACAAATAAAAAAGAGCAGAGGAGTATATATATGCTTCATAGATGTGAGAGAATGTAGCACCTTGTACATACTAGGCACTTCTTTTTTTGTGGGAAGTACGTACATACTAGGCACTTTAACTGTGGTAAGATGGAGAAAACCAAGTACAGATCATGTGGCATTCTTCAATCCTGTGGTGTTCACCTTTTTTAAGGATGCTAGCTGTCTTGCCTGTTTTCTTTCCTTTTTGAGATGAAGCCTTGAGTTGTTAGAGCAATGCATTACTTTTAAAATTCGAAGCTATCCACGGCTTCTGTTATTTCATCCCTATTTATTCATATATGGGAGTCACCATGTCTGCTCAATTGTATTTCATCCCTATTTATTCATATATTGGAGTCACCATGTGTGCTCAATTGCTTTATAGGTCAATGCGTACGATGGTTTCCAGATCGTTGACTCATTACATAAGTCAAAGTATCATATAACCACACTTGCAGAATACAGCCATTGCAGCTGTTCACAAACTCCAGGTTCGCAAATAATGAAGACTGGAGGCACAGAAAATGTATTGAAAGAGAAGCATGCCATGTCTAGTAAGCAGGGAACTGTAAAAAAACTTGGTGATGGGCACACAGTCACAATTATTAGTGGTGAAAGCAAGTCAAGTTCATCTCATATGTGCAATCAAAATTGTGGAGATAAGGAAATACTGTCTACTCCATCACAAGACAACATGGAGAGTGATTGCTGCCATGCTTGTGGAAGGCATATTTATCACCCTATATTGCCATGGATAAATGGTGATGGCAGCATCAATAGTACCGTCTATGAAGGTTTAACTCGTCGAATTATTGGCTATGTGATGCAATATCCAGGAACAGTAGAGGTGCGTATCTATTTTTATCATTTATATCTGCTTTTTATGTATTTGGAAAATTTTGTGTACCACTAATTGTGAACTCTTGAATCAGCCCTAATTCATAATGATAGTGTATTTTGTCATGATTTTGACCAAGCATCCTGTTATTAAGATCGTAGGAAAACTTGTTTTACTTCACGCATTCCAAACAACTTAACATGTGAAACCTATACTGAGAGAATTGCAGCTTTCAAGTCGTAGTTCGAAAAGAATGCACCGTTGCTTTGTAAAACAAACATATTCCTTATACACGAGAACCAAACTTATTATGTTTGTGTCCTTACTTTTTGAGGAAAGGTGACACTTCACACATTTACAAGAAAAATCTCAGGTCTTCCTATTCGTATGGTCTTCGAAATTGCGTTATGTTTAACCTATCGTTGTCAACATGGTTATGTTAGAAGTTCTGATCGTATGCTTTGCTGTTATGTTAGGAGGATGTTATCCACAAGATGGATGTATTGAATCCTCAGGTATATTACCTTTGTCTATTTGTGCCAGTATCATCTATATTCAAACGATTGCTGTTTAATGACAATGATGTACGCTTTGCCTCGTACATTGTCTTGCTGTTTTCGCAGACATGCAGGACCTTGTTGGAGAAGCTGACACTTGATAAACACCTCTATGTTCGGGTGTTCGAAGAACCTGTGCCTACGGCTCCCACCATATTGCAGAGTCTTTTCAGTCGGGACACCTGTACACAACCATGCAAGCGTAGAAGGCGTTACTTCTCTAACTCAACGAGCACATTCATGTTATAAGAGGAACTTGGTTTGTGTGCGAAGTTTTGAAAAGCGTTGCCTTGTCTGCTTGTGTGGAATTGTAAACTACATCCGCGGTCACTGAATTTGAGGCATATATTCTTTTTGGTCACTGGACTTAAATATACTCGAAATATGTTCACTAAGAGCTTCTGAGTTGCACTTCATCCTCCTGTGAGGACTCGTTGTCTCTCCCTGCCAATGCCGGGGGTCCAATCCTGTGGGAAATGAATCAAACGCTTGTGGATGTTGTAGACCTTCTGTCACATCCTAGATTTTTCCCAAATCTGGTATGTTAAAATTTTCACAGGATTTTTTTTAGGAAACACCCATGTTTGCCTAGGATTTCATTATGATTGACTTTGAATTGTTTGATTGTTTGCCTAGAAGAATGAAAATCCAAATGCAACTAGTGAAACCATAGGAAGCCTTAGTAGGAACCCAAGCTATTTTGAAAATATTGTTTGGGCAAAAGTATTTATTTTACAATAAGTCCCAAGTAGTATTCAAGTCGTGATGATTCTCCCAAAAGAATTGAGTTGGATTCATTTGAGTCAATTCAGGACCAAAAGGAATTATTCAAAAATGGCTTTGCATTTTATGTAGCAGGAAGATGAATTTCATAAGTCCAAATAATATTCTTGACCCTCTTCCTATTTTCTAAAATAAATTTGAAACATATTTGGTTTTGAAACCAAATTCAAATTCAAAAGGGAAAAATATAAGTGTAATAAATATAAGTCCAAATTGCCCAAACAAAATATTCAAACATTCCCAAATATTCCGTTTGGAATTTAGGACATATTCTTTATTGGAAGAAAATCAAATTCAGAATCATTTGAAAAGACTGAACAAGATAGAAAAGAAAAACAGAAAAATGGATGCAGAAATCAAATAAAATGAAAAGGCCACCCACCTCCCGCAATCGCTCGGCCATGACCTCGCCCACCTCCAAATTCCAGTGAAGCAAGTCTATCAACATAGCCAACAAGCTTCACTATATGCTCACTCAACGAGGAACCCTCTTTCATCTTGCATTTGATCAGGGCCTTGGTTAATTCAAACCGTTTGGTCTTTGCCTGTTTCTTGTATAGAACTTCTAGTGACCCAATTATAAATTGAGTGGTAGATCGTTCAAAACGCTTTTGTAGTTCAGGATCCATGCAAGTTAACATGAGACAGTGGACTGCCTCATAGTCATCACTACAAGTAGTATAAGTAGCAACTTCTTTTGGTGGTACGTCCTTTGAGGGAGCATCACCTAGGGGCTGATCCAGCACGTACTCCTTACCATTCCTGAGAACAAATCTCAGGTTGTGGATCCAATCCGCATAGTTTCCACTATTTGCAGCCAACTTTTCTTTCTTAGGCATAGGGGATAAGTTGAACATATTGCAAGCCATTTAATCTACAATGATAAACACAAATAAGTTTTTAGACATAATTCATAATTAATATTGCACTAATTTATTAAAACAAATTTTAATATTAAAGTGCACTCCCACTCAAATTAATATCTCTCATAATTAATAGTGAGTGATTCAAGATCCAAGTCTAGTTCTCAGACATTGATGTGAACATCATTGATGACGAGAATTTTGACTGGTGGGCAAACTTTTGCCGATCATATCTCCATATGACTCTTGTTCATCTTTCGATGCTTTGTGCTCCGAGCTTAGAACGAGTCTGCTAGAACTTCAAGACAAAGTGTTATCTGCATACATGGTCAGATCATCCCCGTCTTACACCTCGCATCCCGTTTGTACTCATGCGGACATGACGCACACTGGAACGCTACGTGTTATAGACGGTTGCAACACTGGGAAGAGCACCTTTTAACTTGATATTTACTGTGAGAGATCATCCTAATAATTGACTACTGCGCAACCAAAGGGTGCAAACAATAAAGGGATAAACATCTCAGGCAATTCATAAAAGCATGACATGGTAAAGCCATTGGCGCGGGGAGTTCTATGATCGTCTTCAATCTTAAGTTGAAGCAACGTGACAGCCAATATTTCATTGTCATGGCAACCGTTTCAAAAACATTACCGTGGCAACCGTTTCAGAAAACGTTTCCATGGCACCAAAATCTGAAATTCTGCCGTGGCACGAAATTATAACTCCTCGTCCCGCGCCTTGGTACACCTTCTCCTTGTCGGGGTCCTCTGTGTACGTCTTGCCACCGTCACCTGTAACCTATCTCTATGATATTTACATTAAGGTCGCAATCTCATGGCTCCAGCCATCATGCCGTGACGCGTAGGCCACTTAACATTACAACATATAACCATCTCATACATAAACTCATTATCATGACGAAGGTTGTACCACATCATATGCAACCCCTGCAAAACCAAGTTAGACGCCCTCTAATCGGTTTGGCAACTTTTAATGTCTTCTAGGGTTTATGGATAAACCTAGCTACCTACATGCACACCATAAAGTGATAATCCTTATTGCTAGATTAACTTTCGGGGTGTGTGAAAGAAGAGACTTAATTAAAAATCTTGTTCCCCCACACTAAACTTCATCTAATACACGTGACCCCCTAGAAGATCATCCATCTTCATCTCGTCTTGCGTACGCGACAGTTCACTATTCTTGACTATGGTGAAGCCCAAGGAACTGTTAGCATATCGTCGACAACCAAAGCCGAGCGATTGTCAGAACCTTGTAGAAAGTGACACCATGCCGTCAATGAACTGAACCGAAGCAACACTCGACAGAAGTGTAGCAAGAACATCACCCTCACATCCACATGTAATCTAGATCACAACCTGCATCTACTCATAGAACCACTCATGATGTCAATGTTGGGAAACGTAGTAGAAAACAAAAAAAATCGCCCTACGATCACCCAGGAACAATATGAAGATGCATAACGGGTTGTGATCAGCGATCGTTACCGACTCTAGGAATGCAGTGGAAGTAGACGAGTCGGTGTAGATCGTACTTGAAGTCCCTCAAACGTTGATGATGATCCCATGAACCACCCACGAATGATCCCTCGAATGGAAGACCGAAAGCACGACCTCTCTACTTGGTTGCAAGCGTACGGTCTTCACGATCCAGCAGCGCTTTGCCGTCCAAAGCTAATCGTCGCTGGAGAATTAGAGGGAGGGGATTAGAACCACACATGGCTTCTAATTATGAGGATTAGAGGTGGCTAGGGATCGCTCTAATTAGTCACCTGGAACCAACTAGAATGTGCACTAGATCAACTAGAGGAGGCTCCAAAATTTGCGTGTCCATAAGATGGAAATCCTGTAGTATATTGCTACTTCTTGAGCTTGCGTTGGCTTTTTCCTTGAAGAGGAAAGGGTGATACAACAAAGTAGAGATAAGTATTTCCCTCAGTTTGAGAACCAATGTATCAATCCAGTAGGAGACAATGCACAAATCATCGAATACCTGCACAACAATCAAACAACTTGCACCCAACACGATAAAGGGGTTGTCAATCCCTTCACGATTACTTGAAAAAGTGAGATCTGATAGAGATAGATAAATGGTAAAGTAAATATTTTTGGTATTTTTGGTTCATAGATCGGAAAGTAAAAGATTGAAAAAATAGTAGATCTGAAACTAATATTGTAGATCGGAAACTTGTAAGATGGAAAATAGAAACTTATATGATGGAAAATAGACTCGGGGGCCATAGGTTTCACTAGAGGCTTCTCTCAAGATAGCAAATAATACGGTGGGTGAACAAATTACTGCCGAGCAATTGATAGAAAAGTGCAAAGTTATGACGATATCTAAGGCAATGATCATGAATATAGGCATCACATACGTGTCAAGTAGACCGAAACGATTATGCATCTACTACTATTACTCCACACATCGACCGACTCCTGCCTGCATCTAGAGTATTAAGTTCATGAAGAATAGAGTAAAGCATTAAGTAAGATGACATGATGTAGTGGAATTAACTCAAGCAATATGATCAAAACCCCATCTTTTTATCCTCGATGGCAACAATACAATATGTGCCTTGCTGCCCCTATTGTCACTGGGAAAGGACACCGTAAGATTGAACCCAAAGCTAAGCACTTCTCCCATTGCAAGAAAAACCAATCTAGTTGGCCAAACCAAACCGATAGTTCGAAGAGAAATACAAATATATAAAATCATGCATAAAAGAATTCAGAGAAGATTCAAATAATATCCATAGATAAGCTGATCATAAATCCACAATTCATCGGATCTCGGCAAACACACCGCAAAAAAGTATTACATTGAATATATCTTTTTTTGACAGAAAGACTGTAAGGAACCCCCTACAGTATAATTGGTGCAACAAACCCAAATTGCAAGTGCCATGCCTTGAACCTGGGTGGGTGGGAAGGCATCAGCCCCTTCCGACCACTAGGCTATGCCTTAGTCTGCTAAGGCATCGGATATATCTCCAAGAACATCGAGGAGAACATGGTATTGAGAATCAAAGAGAGAGAAAAAACCATCTAGATACTAGCTATGGACCCGTAGGTCTATGCTAAACTACTCACACTTCATCGGAAGGGCAATAGAGTTGATGTAGGAGCCCTCCATGATCGAATCCCCCTCCGGCATGGTGCCGGAAAAGGTCCCTAGATGGTATACCACGGGTATAGAAGGTTGCGGCGGTGGAGAAGTGTTTTCGTGGATGCCTCTAGTGGTTTGGGGATATTTGGGAATATATAGGCGAAAGAATTAGGCCAGGAGGGTCACGGGGGGCCCACAAGGGTGGGGGCGCCGTCCATCCTTGTGGCCGCCTCGTGGCTCCTCCGACTTCATCTGCAAATCTCTTGGTGTCTTCTGGTCCAAGAAAAATCATCGCGAAGGTTTTATTCTGCTTGGTATTCCTTTTTTGCGAAACTCGAAAACAAGGAAAAAACAGGAATTGGCACTGGGCCCTAGGTTAATAGGTTAGTCCCGAAAATAATATAAAATAGCATATTAATGCATATAAAACATCCAAAATAGATAATATAATAGCATGGAACAATCAAAAATTA